CTCTTGCAGGGAAGAGTAAGAAGTTGCTAATTCTCCTGAAATTAATGACTCCACCTGATAATCAAAAATTCCTCCTAAGAGCAAATAAAATATTTTTCTTCCAAAATCGATAGCATCACTTTGGATAGCCCTATAAACGTGAATTAGAGATTTGTAATCATCTAATATTTTTTCATAAATTAGGTTGACGGTTTTTTGAACCATTTCTTTATATCCTTCTGAAAAATACAGATTTTCATCTAAGTTATCTGCAACTAAAATTTCTGATGTGGAGAACTCCAGCACAATTGATTTTACTAATGTTGTAACAATATCAGCTGTGCTGGCTCTTGCTTTGTATGGGTTTTTGGCAGCTAAGACATTATGTGAGAATGCATAAAGGATTTTGCATAAAAGCTCAGAAATAACTTCCTCCAAAAATACAGCTGAATTCACAATGAAAGACAATTCTCTTCGTTTAGGATCTCTTGCTCTCTGTTTGTAAGTTTGATCAACTGGACCTGAAGGGAGAGTTTTATCTTCAGATAAAAATGACTGAAGATGATGGTTAAAGATTTCTTTTATTATATAACTTGCTATTTCTGTAACAGGCAATTTACTTATGCCTTTTTTATCTTTTGCAAGAGACTGGTATAAGTTAGAGTGACAAAAGTTGGCATAGATGGCATCGGCCATAACCTGGATCTTTTTTTCTGAAATCATGTTTTGTTTTCCATTTCCATGTTTAATAATACATACTGCATGTTTGGAAATTACTGACATAATTTCATCGATCAGTCTCAGGACTGTGTTACTTAAATCTGATTGCGAAGGGCCTGGGTCTTCTGCACTGCAGCCCAATGGACTTATCTGAGATAAAATCTGAGTGACGATTTTTTCCAGATGAGTATGGGATAATACAGTGGTATAGATGGTGGAAGTCTGTCTTTGGAGTCTTGACTTACTAATATCATATTGAACTCTCTTTATCAAAACATCAGCATTGAGTTTTGAATATAATTTAAAAGACCGTTGTGCTAGGAAATCTGGATGAATTTGGAAATCAAAAGTTTCTGCGAGGATAATTTTAGTTATTCTCTTAGCCAACGTCTTTGTGTCATGGAGAAAATCTTTATCAGGTTCCCCTGCATATTCTTGTAAAGCTTTGCTATATACTGTGCCAATAATTTCTACGACTACTTCTCTAGCTACTGGTGGCAAACACAATTGATCCTTAGCATTTTCTAGGATGCTCACTTGGGCTTTTGAGAATTCTTCTGTTATCAAATATATGAGTTTCTCAGCTGTTTGTAACAGTTCTTTTTCTGACTCTCTTACTGATTTTGTTTGCACAATGCCTATCACCCTGTGGAATATTTTGCTTAAAACCCCAGAGATCACATCTTCCAAAAAGGCTGAGGGATAAACACGGATAAGAAACTGTTGCCTTCTTGCATACGATAAGAGCAAGAATGACTTTCCATACACAAATGGATTAAGATGTTGTTGACAGATATTTTTAATGATAAAACCGGCTATTCTATCAGTCAGAACATTGTTACCACTTATGAGGTCATGCTCCACCGCTTCTTGAGACTCAGAGTTTTGCAAAATATTTCTGAATACTGAATCAACGAGATGCTGAGTGTCATCCTCTGAATAAGCAAACTTGGTTTCTTCATCATCTTTTGAAAATCGAATTTCATGTTGGGAAATTTTCATCCTAATATCACTGATTAAGTTTGAAGAGATTTCATTGAAATTAACCTCTGATCTATCCTTTGAGGTTTCTCTGTATGGAAACCTGTTATATGCAGAAGGAAATATTCTAGATAACAGCACTCTGATTATGTCTTCTAAAAATGTGTATGGCAGCAGGGTGTTATATGGAGATAAATTGTGGCTTGGCTTGGTAGATTTACTGATGCTACCAAGGATGTTCTGAACAATGTCCTCTGCAGTTAAAGTAGAGTAGCAATAAGTGGACAAGTCCCCAGAAAACAGTGGATGAAAAAGGTAATCAGAAATAGATCTTACAATTAAATTGGCAATATTTTCCACAAAAATATCATTGTCTTTGAGTTCTTTATTATCAACATCAGGGGTCAACCCATGCTGTATCAGAATATTCCTATAAACTGACTTGACAAGTTCATCCATAGTGTCTGAATCTATAACGGATAAAGTTGGCTCTTTGCCATCACGAAGAATGCGAATTTTAGCTTTGTTAAAATGGTTATTTATTGAGTTTACTATTTTTTGGGTGATTTTTCCCAGTTCAAGCTCAGTGTTATATTTTGGATTGAAGATCTTTGGTACAAGCCTGGCAACAATTTCTTCCACAAATGCCTTAGGATAAATGCCCATACCTAGTGATAACGGCTTCTGGGATCTCTGTGCCTCTCTGGCTTCAATGAGAACCTCTTTAACCATACTTGATATCTCATCCAGTGGAGTTCTTGAACGAGGGACGCCCTCTCCACACAAAAAGGGTTGAAGATGATTTTCAATAATCTCTTGAATAATAAGACTGGCTATTTGATCAACCATAACTGGGCTTTGGCTTACAACACTTTTCTGTATTGACACAAGAGAGTCAGATATTTGCAAAATATTATTATAAACAGACTCCACCATTTTTTGGAGGTTTTCTTCTGTATATAGATAGTGATGATCATATTTAGTGAGCCAGATCTTATGCTTTGAAATGGCTAACATAACCTTATTTATTATACAGGTGGATAGCTCATTAAAATCTGAAGTCATGAAATATTTCTTTCCCAGGCATGAAGCCTTGCTGGGTAGAGGAATGAGCTGAGATAACAGCCTTCTGATGACATCTTCTAAAAATGAGTGCGATAGCATGGTGGTATAGCCTATTAAATGTTGAACTGGGTAATTAAGTTCTCTTAGGCTATTTTGAAGTTTCTGCAGTATATTTTTGGCTTCGAGAGGGTAATACGAATTGGGTGTGAGCTTTCCCACAAAGCACACTGGGAGTTCATAGTCTAAAATCTCTATCAATATGCCATTAGTTATTTGTTTGGCTACTGAGGTGATAACATGTGCCAGATTATCACCAGAGGTCACTTGTAATTCATATTTCTGTAAAACATCATTATAAACTGAGTCAACAATCTTACTAACAGTTTCTTTATAAACTGGTGGAAAACATAGCTTTTCTTCAACATCCCGTGAAACAGTAACTTGAGCATTATTAAACTCATTTACCACGGAGTTGACACCTAATATATTCATCTCATTGAGCTGCGCTTCAGTGACGTTTTCATTTTTGCTCCACAATGAGGTAAACAGATGAAGAAAAATGCCTGAAATGATTTCCTCCAAAAATGTGGCTGAGTAAACACCCGTGCTCATGCCTCCCGGATGTAGCATGTGGTGCTTGGGTGTTGCATTCATTGTCTTTTTTCCTGGTCTTTGAATTGGTGATAAACAGGGTTTTACTATAAGTGGCTCACTAAATGGGGCTTCCATTTTGGAACTAGTCACCCTGAGATTATTCACTGCCTTTGTCAAAGGCTTGCTGTCATAACTCACAAATCTTACAGGGTCTTTACCCTGTCTTGATTCTTTTAATTCTGGCCTTTTTGACCTTGGGGAACTAGGAAGTCCCTCTCTTGTTCTATATTTTAAACGCTTAGGAGTAAAAGGTGGACTTCTGGAGGGTCGCTGTATACTGTGTGACAGCTTTTCCATTAAGGATTTCACCATGCTATGGGAAATAATACTAAGCATAGATTCTTGGTCTGTTTCCACTAGATTTTCCAAAAGGTCTGACATGTCATAGTCTTGAACTAATGATCCATAGTCTACAGTTCCCTCGCAGTAACCAAATTCTTCATCTTCTACATTTTGAAGTATGTCGAACGGTTGACGTTCTTCTGCTGATACTTCATCCGAAGAAGGGCCGTTGGTAAGGAGGTTGTTGGTTGTGCATTCTTCCAAAAGTATTCGAATAAATTTCTCACATACAATATTCAAAAGAAAAACAGATTCTGGGGAGAGACCTAGGTTATTTCCAGGTATGCTGCTACCTGGCTGGTTATTTGGGGATGGGAATATTTTTCTTGCTGTCTTACCAGAATCCATATCCCAATTTGGGCATTCATCTGGCAAAAACAAATCTAAAACAATACTAAAAATTTTACTGACTACTTCTTTGGATTCACGAGTTTTTAGGTTACCAACCAGACTGCCTAACTTACATGCCAGATAATTTAATTGATTTTTCCGTACAAGTTGATTAATTTGGCGAGTAGAAGCAGATTTCCAATTTCTGGGGCTTGTCTGTCTTTTCATAGTTTTAGTTTGGTTTCGCACAGGCAAACTAGGGCTTCTAAGCATGGAAGATGATTTATTTCTTCCTCTGCTGTCAGGCTGATGATTTATTCCTATTTCTTTGGACAGAACATGAGTCACTTCTATCAAGAGATCCTGAAAGAGGTCATCGATGTCAACCATATCTACACCGGGGCAGTAAATATATTTTGTTTTTACAGAAGCCATTTCTTGTGTAATGTCTGCCTTTAAGATGTCATTATTAAAAAGGATACGGATAATGATTTCTGAAATGCTTAAAGCAAGTTTGCCGATAGGAATTGACTGGCTCTCACACCCTAAGGAATGAACTAAAATAACCTTGCTAAATGTGGCATCTTGGCTGTCCGGTGCTTTCTGTTTTATTTCAGTCTCTTCGGTGCAATCAGAAATTCTTGAAATTATGTGAGAAACAACCAATTTAGTGAGATGTTCACAAAGTTGATTAAGTGAAGAATCACTGTGCACGGTTCTTACAGGCTGCTTTGATTCATATTTTTTCCTTGATGATGTGGAAACAATAGGTACTTTTTCATCACGAGGACCTTAAAACAGAAAACATTGCTAATTTTAACATGTATTAAAGAAAAATGCTGGCCATTCAAAATATTGGCAATAGAAAACAGAAAAACCTAGTCAAGAAAGGAACTGGGTTTTCTTTAAATCTGTATTTTCCACCTTGTGGAATCTTTACTTCAGTCAGAAAGGAAAATAGGCCAGCAGAATCCAAATCTCTAAGTCAGGTGCTGCTTTCTTCCTTGGAGAGCTATGTTGCTCTAAAAAGCTAGAAATTCTGGGGCAGAGAAACTATTTCTAGCTTTAGTGTTGCAATACCCTAGTGTGACTCCAGCGACCTCATGTAAATTCTTGAAAAATGTTTTGGCTGTTGAGCTAATTATCCAGTTTGGGGCTTTACAGTCTATATTAGATTGAACCAAATGAAACTGCTGGTGTTCAATAGCTTTGACATACAAAAATGGCTATTTCAAATAGTTCAACCCAATACATGCATGCAAGCATTCAAAGAAAAGGAGTGCAAATATCATCCTTGCAAGCATGGGTTTGGAGTATTATACCTAAAAAGAATTTAAGTTAGAACACTGGAATATGAACAGAACCAAAAGTTTAATGGTACTGTTCTTATAAACTCTGTCCATAATAATGGCAAATACTTTGACTGTATATCTCAAAAAGAAGTTGGATCATTACTCTGCTGTCAATTAACTAGGCATGAGTTGTGACTGTAATGTAAGACGTCTTTTGTCAAGAATTTAAACCTCTTTGGAACTGCTTTTTGGGAATTGCCTTTGGAGCAATGCATGTACCACACAAGAAAACTGTTCTCAGCATTTCATAGTCATATCTCATGCTCAACCCAAACCTCTAGCTTTAAATTACACCTATTTAATCTCATCTGTAGATAAGGAAAACTGAGCAACACCCCTCCAAATAAAAATTATGCAAACGCCTAACATTTTTTCCTTTAGCATACTGACCAGTTGAAAAACACGTAAGCAGATAAACAGTCACCCTGAATCCAAGACTATTTTCAGAGAAGCAGTGAATGTAGCTTCTTGGATGTAAGGGTAAAAACAAAACTCTTAAAATTACCATTGACTTTGTTTTTCTAAAATTATGCCAACTCTTCACAAGTAAGTTATTTCTCACTCACCTCTGGTTTTGAAGTTCTTGAAGTGTGCGACCACAGATGTAGTAACGTATCTTGCTATTAGATGGATTTCATTCGGTCCCAGCTCCTGATTGGCAAAAGCAATTACTTCAGCCGCTTTAAGAGCCTCTATTTTCTCTCTCATTGGGGACTTTTTACTCTTCCACTTTTCTAGTAAAGGGAAATCTTCCCCACTGGCTTCAGGGCTTTTATTTGCTTCTTCGGTTTTATAGTTGACTCTTTTTCCCCACATTTTCTGCAAGTTTTTCTCCTCATCCTTTTGTTCTCCAGACATTACAGAAAAAGGCCCCTCTTTTGATACAAAAAATGGCTTAATTGTTTCCACACTTTCATTAATATTTGGCAGTTGCCCTGGAAGGCCATAACTCAACAGCATGGTATTAACGACATTTTCTGCAGCTAAACATATACTGAGTGGAGAAACAGTTGTCTGTATTTGGCTTACCTGAACAGCTGGTCTAGGGTGCTCACGGTGATGCACTCTTTGATTTTTACCTTCCTGCACTTCGAAGGACATGTCCTGTGTCAGCACTGCTTCGGTAGAGTCATTGGATTTCTTTGGTGGTTTTTGCAAGATGCTGTCTTCAGGCAGAAAACTGTTTCCTTTCATGGCTTGATCAAAATGGCTGAGGTCTTGGATTTTGTCTCTAGAACAAGATGGATTAAGTTCTGATTCGAGTCTTCCCATTGGCTCTGAGGTGTTACTGGTATCGCCTGCAGAGTACCTCAGGGGCACCTGAGGTAGATTTGAGGAAGCCCTGTCCTTTTGTTTCACACTTTCCTCTGAATAAAACAGCAAGCTAGGAACTTGGATTTGTAGATCATCCCCACAGCTAGCTCCCTTTAACTTTGAAGTGGTCATTGCCATTCCCGATGCTAATTCAGCCCAATTAACAGAGTAGGCGTTTTCAGTTCCTTCAATGAGATTTTCTTTTGCGTGGTTTTTGATCAGTGACTCACAGAAACGGGTACATTGGCCCATTAATGTGCTGACAATCTCACTTGCTACTGTGTTTTCTTCAAATACGCTAACCGAAGATGGTTCCACTTGGTGTATTTCTCTGTCTAGCTTGTTCTTAATTATACCAAGCATGTCATTGACGGTATTGGCAGTATAGGTAAGCAATTCTGAATGGAATGAATGAAGCTGTCGAAGGGTATTCTGTATGTTTTCCTGGGAAATCATACTACTTGATTTAGATTCATCAGGAAGCTTATTCAGTGGCTGTAATTTTGGCAATATTGTTTTCATTAATGGTTTCTGCTGGGAAGGGGAAAAGTTTTTGATAGGGATTTTTACAATATCAGAAAAAGCACAGGTGGAGACATGTTTAAATTGCAGGTCTACGAAGGACTCCAAAATGTGCAGAACTTCTTCGATGATATTTTGAGCAATTCGATTGCCAGAACCCCTTGCAATTTTGTCTTTCAACTTCATGTTATAGATTGGTACATTGTTAAGGTTGTTTGTGCTTAAGGAACCATATTTCCTTCCAGTAGCAGTTTCTCGCTTGCTTGGTAGAGTTTCTTTACTATCAGTTATGTGCAGCTGTGTCAAGAAGCACAGCTCTAATTTTTCAAATAGCCTTTCAACAATTTCCCTGCCAAATATATTAATTTGGACTTGGGCATCTTCAGCTCTAGAAGATCTTTTGAAATCATGGTACCTGATTTCACAAGTCTCAAGATGTGAAAGATTTAAAAGTGAAACAGGCTCTTCTAATTCTTTTGCTTTTATTAAAATTTCATTCAAAACAGTCTTGGCTCTCATCAATAGCCTATATTTCTCATTTTCCATGCCATCTGATTCTGTTTGCCATTTACCAAACATTTGTTTAAAAATATCTTCTTTTGGAAAAATTATTTCTAGTTGTGAAGAAACATTCTCTAATGAAAACTGTGCCTCTGGACCAGTAAGAGAAGTAGCACTTAAATTCTTTTGTGCAAGTTTGAGATCATCCGAATGTGAGCATTTGATTGGATGAGCCAAATTGTTGTTCTTGGCAGCGTATAATCCTTGCAAAACTGCATGAACGATTTCACTTGCTGTCATGATCTGATCAGAAGGTAAAGCTTTTACATTTATTCTTGCTCTGTTTGGCCTCACTGTTTGAAATTTGTCCATAATTGTTTCCAGAATATTACTTACTATCTCCTTGGCATACATTTTTAGTTCTGCAGTGGGCAGTTTGGTTCTTGCTAAGTTTTTAGAATCTCCTGTTGATACCACCTGTGAGAGTCCATTGGCAGTTCTGGACCGGGTCCCTCTTGAAGTCTTCTCTCCAGGGCCTAACTTAGTTTTGTTCCTGGCCTTACCACCACTAGGTCCTACCTGTGGTTTGGCTCCAAATTTAGGCAAAGAGGTAACTTTTGATCTTGCTTTTAAATTTGTTTTAAAACCTGGCTTAGGGCTGCCCTTAGGACTGACTTTAGAACTACATGGCCTCAGAGATGGCATTTCATCAGACTGACTTTTAGGAGATGAACCCTCTTCTAGATTCAGCAAAGCAAAATTCATGATCTTATTGAGGGCCATTTGGACCAATTCTTCACCCACATGTAATGGAGAATGTTGCAAACAGGAAATTTCCAACGAAGTGACAGTTGCAATGCCTGTGTAAGGATAAACTCGCGGTAGCACGTGTTTAAGAGGAACACTCCTTTTCTCTGTTTCTTTCGATCTCCTGAAGTGTGATGGAGTCACTGGTGATTCGTCATTGTTGGAGGCTTCCAATTCTCCTTTGGTTTCATTATTTTCATACAAGGATGCTATAACTATGGAGAACATTTTTCCAAAAACGCTTTCAACTATATCATTTGCAACACTGTTTATACGTGCTTGCAAGGTCTTTTTCAGTGTGGAGGTTGATGTTTTAAATTTAGAATCAGATGTGAAGTGGGGGGGTTTGTTAAATGCAGGCAAGTGATCTACATCTTCTACTACTCTTTGATACACCTTTTTTAAGACTTCCTTTACTGCACTTATCAAAGCAGTAGTTTTTTCCTGTCTAGGTCCTTTATTTCTCATAAATATTTCATCCAGAACCCTCATCTGGTTTTCTTTTTTTGATACAATTTGGTTTTGATTTAGACATTTTGAAAAGAAAGATAGTTCAGTGTTGTTTTCCATCTTGCTTTGACCTGGCAGTATTTTAGTATTTTCATTTGCTTGTATAGCTGGTTGAGTAAAGAGGCTAGGGTTCTGTTTTGAGTAAAAATTACTTTTCTTTAAAGATCTTTTATCATATAAATTCTTTAAGATATTGTTGACAGTTTCACTTGCAATGATGTTTTCTTGGAATGATGTTTTATCGGGATATGAATACATCTTTTGCATTTCTAGGTCTACGTCCTTTTTAATAACCATCAAAATGGTACTAGCAATTATATCAGTGGATTCCTTAAGACTAGCCTGTGATATATGAATTGCAGGCCCACGTTTTTGCCTGTAACTAGCAAATGTGTGGTCTGTGATCCCTTGACTGAGAATGGTTTTAACTGTCGATGTTTTCAGAATATTCACATCTGATGGCATTTGGTTCCATCCAAGAAACAGGCTGTCGTCTTGTTCACAGTTTGCAAATTCTGGGCTAACAAGTGATTGTTCTCTAGTATGAGAGTCAAAAGTTACTAGCAAATCTATTCGTTCCATCACAAAAGATTTTAACCTATTCAAAATAGCTTTAGTAATAAAATGAGCATTTTCCTCACAGGGGTCAGGTGCATGTTTCTTGGTGTGTTGTTTCTTAAGTGTATTAGTCTGATTATCATCAGAATAAGCTGATATTTGTCTTAAACGTTTTCCTTTTCTTGCATATAGAAAGATCTCCCTATTCCTTTCATTAGTTGAGCCCACAACAGAAAGTTGCTGACACTCTGCTTCTGGACATGCATTACAAAAAGTCAGAGGCAGCCTTGCAGAAGTAGAATCCTTTGCATTTATGCCAAGCATGACAGTGGATCTGAGACTGTGAAGAATGATATTTACCATATCATTGGACATCATCATAACACAGGACTCAGGAACCAAAAACTTTAGAACAGTCTTATTTGGACACTCAGTGGCCATTTCAGAATTTGGTCCTGAATCTCTCCCACCTATATCAGATTGAAGAGTGGATGTAGCAAGTGGGAGATTATTCTCATCCAGTGTTTTTTCACAAATGTCACTTAAGATACCTTCAATGGTATCTAGTATTTGAAACTGAAGTTGTTTTTGATAATCAGTTTTATTGAACAGCTTTTCAACAATACTTTCTGGCTGATTTAAATCAATTTCTCTGTCAGATATGTGTTTTTCATGTCTGCTTTTAGCAGATATAATATCTAACAATGTGTTAACTATCTCACTTGAAATACTTTCAGAAACTTTAATGTTATGCGTTAAGAATGGACTTTTTATTTGTTCATCCAACTTATGTTTGATTCCTTGTAAAACTTGTCTAGCCACTTCTGTTGCATATGTATTTAATTTGGAGACAGTCATTTGACATATTGAGGTGGTCTTTCCTGACTTACTATGATCCACTGAGCAACAGGAAACTTGATCACCAGAATATGAATCTTTGGTTGATAACCATAGTTGGTTTAATGAATTCTCATTCTGCTCTACAGATAAAGCCATTGGAACTTTGACACTGATACAGGAACAAAAGAGAAATTTTACTTTGGAAGTAACAAATGTTTCTAAATTCGTTAATACTGACTGTACAATATCTTCAACTACATTTACTTTGGTCAGTTTATCAATAGTTAATCTGGACTGAAACGTACATGGATTTCTGTCCAATATTGTTGAATACACAGAGGCCTTTCCTTCATTGGTATGTTTAGGAAGAGAGCTAGACCTATTTTCATTTGCATTTCTCTCTGTCATGGCAACTGAATAAAGCTTTTGAAATATGGTTCTAATAACCCCATCTGTAACAGTGGTTACATCAGCTTCAGACACTAAAGGAACCATTGTTTTATCCCGGAATTGAACGGGGGCTTCAGCAACTGCCTCATCACCAGAATGAGGGATGTCACATAAATGAGGCCAAGGGAGAGAAGGCACATTAAAATGATCAAGTAAACCATTCTCAAAAATTTCGTTCAAAATATTTCTTATAATGGCCATGACTGGAGATTTTTGTGGCTCTTTGAGTTCTACTTCAATTTTTTTTAAGGTCTTTTCTAGTTCCCATTGGTTAAGTGAATCTGATTTAGTTTCTTCTTCTGGTGGTCTTTCCTCTTCAGTATATCCTTTCTCTGTACGTATAGGATCTTCTAGATCAGACTGTGGTTCGGCTCCTCCAGGAAGAAAATTTCCATATGTTGGCCTGTATCTATAATATTCAATGCCTCTCTCTCCAGGTTCAGTTTCATTAAACATATCTGGAGGCACGCCATCTAAAATTAAATTCACTAGATTCTTAAGCATTTGTTTCTTTTGTGGTAGATTGTTCATACGTGGCCCCATACCTGGCCGTCTCATATTTAATTCAGTTTGAATAGTCTTCAAAATAGCACTTGATACTTTTTTGGCATGAATATGTAATACAGACTGCACTCGTTCTTTGAATGTGTCAGCACAAATGTTGGTACTTTCGCTTTCCCAGTGCGTCTTATTGCTCTTTTCATTTCCATTGATTATAGTGTCCAGAGTTCCTAAATTCCTAGTGGCAAACCCTTCCAGTTTGGTGAAAACTGTTTTAAGGATATCAGAAGCCATGGCTTTCAGTTTATTTGGATGATTTTCTTTCATGCTTCCTATTTTGGGAGCAGCAGTTCTTGCCTTGCCGTTTATCATCATTTGATTGCCTTTCTTGATCCTAATGGACACCATGCTGGAGACTACATCAGTGCATTTAGTCATTTCCTCCATAAGGGAAGTACATGATAAGCTGTTGGTGTCAAAATACTCTAAGATAGTTTTAAATTCGGAATTGGAGAAGCTGCTGTTCCTCTCAACACTACATAATTTTGTAATGATATGTTCTAGAATTGTATTAGAAATGAGCTGAATATTAGATTGCAATTCAGTGGTCATTTTCAGTTTCTCACTGGCCCATTCTCTGTTTCGCTCATTATCAAATGAAGGAGAGCATGGATGATCTCCCATGAGCTTGCATAACATATCACGTAAAGTATCCTCAATTCTACCTAACACTTGAAATCTGGCATTCTTTTTGAAGTCCTTTTCATTAAAGACACTACCTTGAGTATGTGGAACAGCCAAACATTTGTGGATTTCAGAGGGAGCTGCCTCTTGCGCGGGCAAACAATGAGAAGGTGAAATTTTTTCTTTATCAGTGTTGCTGGTTCCATATGAAATTTTAACCCTTAGCTTATCTGAAGGGAGTGGAACATTACTTTCATCTGTAGCTCCACTTATCATCTCACAAATACAAGTTATTAAGGAACTTGTCATAATGTCGTTACTGAGATTTGTGACAACAGAGTCTAATTCCTTTTCGGTGTTGGCAAAAAATCCTGTATCTATAAAGCTTTTGGGAGGGCTACTCTCTGAAAGATTTAGGTATTTCTTATTACGTTCCAGTTCATCGTGGATAGCATCCAAAACAATGTTTACCACCTTAGTTGTGTAAGCACCAAGCTGAAACTGAAATGAAGATTTCATGGCCGGTGGATGG